AGCAGCACTATTTACAATTGCTAAGATCCGGAAACAGCCCAAGTATCCATCAATAGGTGAGTGAATAAAAAAGCTGTGGTACATATACACAATGGAACACTATGCAGCTATAAGAAAGAAAGATCTCTTATCCTTTGAGATGACATGGAGAGACCTGAAGAGTATTATGCTAAGTGAAATAAGCCAATCAGGGAAAGACAAAGATCACATGATCTCACTTATTTGTGGAATATAAATGAACAAAATAAGCTGATGAACAAAATAGACTCAGACATAAAAGTAGGGTTCAGACTTATAAACCTCAGAGGAGGGAGGCAGGGGTGGGGAGGGAAGATATAAACCAAAGAACTTATATGCATATATGCATAACCAATGGACATAGACAACAATGCTCTGAGGGAAGGGCTGGGATAGGGAGAAGGATGTCCATGGGGGGAAAAGGAGAAATATCTGTAACAAAAATGAATTAATTAAAAAATTAAAAAATATTAAAAAGTGGGCTAAAGACCAAAATAGATACTTCTCCAAGGTGACATATAGATGGCTACTAGGCATAAAAGAAGACTCTCAACATTCCTAATCACCAGAAAAATATAAATTAAATCCATAAGCAGATATGTCTTCACACTTCTCAGAATGGCTATCATCAATAAATAAACAAACAAGTGTTGGTGAGAATGTGGAGAAAACAGAACCCTTGTGCACTATTGGTGGGAATGCAGATTGGTGCAACCACTATGGAAAACAGTATGGAGGTTCCTCAAAAAATTAAAAATGAAACTGCATTATGACTCAGCTATTTCACTTCTGGGAATATAATCAAAGAAATCTAAAACAAAAATTCAAAAGAATATATGTATCCATGCATTCATTGCAGTGCTGTTATTTACAATAGCCAAGATGTGAAAGCAGCGCAAGTGTTCGTCAATAAACATGTGGATAAAAAAGTGGTGGTACATATATGAAATAAAACATTACTTGGCCTTAAAAAATGAAATTATACCTTTTGTGACAACATGGATAGACCTAGAGGGTATTATGCTAAGTAAAATAAGTCAGACAGAGACAAATAGTATATAATTTCACTCTAAGGAACACAATAAATGAATAAACAAAATCGAAAAAGACTCATAGATACAGAGAACAGACTGCTGGTTGCCAGAGGAGTGGGGGTTAGGGGTTAGGTGAAAAAGGGATTAAGAAGTACTAACTGGTAGTCAAAAAACAGTCATGGGGATGTAAAGTATAGTATTGGAAATATAGTTGATAATATTGTATTAACTATGTACGTGCCAGGTAGGTACTTGTAATATTGGGGGGATCACTATGTGCAGTATGTGATTGTCTAACCACTGTGCTGTACACTTGAAACTAATACAAAGTGTTGAATGTAAACTATAATTAAAAAAAAATCTAAAATAATAACAATAAAAATAATAACATTCCTGTCCTATGTGACAGTGATGCTTGTGACTGACTGTCACATCGGCATGCTCCCCAGCTGTGCATTATCAGAAGAAAAAATGAGTGGAAATCCATGCTCTCAACTTGTGTCCAGGGAGATGTAGCTGTAAAACATTGTGGGCTATAAAGTTAGACTTGGACCCAAACCTAACTAGTCTCTGTGATAAATATTCATAGTGACACTCATACAGTAATACTGAAGCTTCCTTGAAGACTGCAGGCCAATGATTTCCTCCAATCTGAAACTTTCCTTTATTTATATTAATGCCACCTAAAATCATAGAATTAAAAGGTATACCCCAATTGTGAATGAGTTTAACCCAGAGAAGGCAGACCAAGAGTGCTGCATTTTGAGGGACATACGACAGTGATTCTTGCCTAGTTTCTGAGAGATCCTGAGAGGCAGTAAGAGTAATGCAGTACAAGACCCGCAGGGAAACTGGGAAGCCATCCAGCTTCTTAGTTGAATGGTTCTCAAACTGAATGGTTCAGTTTGAGATGATTATGTCTGTGTGCTTGAAAAAACGGATCTAGAAAATTTAAAGCAGGTGACTTTGGACTAAATCTCGGGAGAACTGTGCAAATGCTGAACAACTAATTGGAAGGTGATAATACAAGGGTTGTGTTCTTCCCTTCTTTGTTTCTTTAAAACAATGATAACTTGAACTCAAAACTGAAACAGGAAGCACAGCCCAATTTGTCCCCGGATATGCCAAAATGCAGGTGCCACAGTTGCTGAATGGACTTTAGGTGTTAGAAAGGCAGGTGAAGTTTTTGAGGTTCAGAAAGAATTTCCAAATAATATCAGCAGGATCTAAATGTTGCATTTCTGAAGTTTTAACAGATGATGGATGTTATACTGGAATATTCTTTTTATCCTTCATTTTTGATTTGTCAGACTATTTAGAAGATGCTTCTTTAACCAGAAACAAGTCATGACTAAAATCCGTACATGAATAAATATTTAATTTATCATAACTTTGGTTTAATAATATATTAAAATACCATTTTCTTAAAAAAGAAGGCCCCAAATCTCATTAAATAGCTAGCTAAAGTTAGAAGTATAGAAACATACAAGATTAATATCACTTTGGTGAAATTACATAGTGTTTCATTGCACAGTTAACCCTCTTTTACACAATTTAATTTTCATAACCCAACTCAGTTTTTTAAAGATTTAGGAATAGGAATATTTCTCCCTGTTATGATTTGTAGATCTGCTTATGAATTAAAACGAACCAACAAGACCACAGATGTGTCAGATGAAAAGACTCCTCTATGGCACTTGAGGAGTTGGTCCCTTACTAAGGTCTGCTCTTGGTAGAATGAAAAACAAGTCGGTCTCCCACCTGCTGCTAGTCTCAACCTCACCCAGGGTCTGCAGAGGGAAATCTTTATATTTGTGATGCCCTTTAAAACAGCAAACTTGAGCTCATCATCAAGTCCAAGATTAAGGGAGATTTAACAGTCCTCTCCAGGGATTAGTTGCTACTTTAGAACAATGCTGGATTTGAAAAGGAATTCTCCCAGGCACCAGTGGATTATTTTGCCATTTCTCTACTGAGATAAATGAAAGAAGAAACAATGCCAGCAAACACTATTCTTTCAAAGTATCCTCCAGAAACCAAACAGTCTAGAGTACAAAAGCCAAGATTTATAAGCAGCAGGAAGTATGTTGGGGCCTTCAAAATAAAATAAATTCCCCTGCTTATTTTGGCTGTATACTCCTATTCTTTTTGAACTCAAACCAGATTGTTCACATGTAAACAATATTTCCCTTGTGGATTTGACTCAGAAGATTCACACACCAGCCTGTGCTGGGCCACCTGGTAGGCTGGAATATGCTAAGAAAATGCAAATTAATATCTAAATTAGATAAAAACAAATTTAACTGAAAGGAAATAAACTTCATAATAATCATATTTAGTATTTTCAATGCCCCAAATAAGTAATGTTTAGAGTACCCATCCCTCATATTGTCATGAAATAAGGTGATTAATAATATCTGGGGCACAGATACTTTAAAAAATTTCAAGTGGAAGAGAAGTACATAAGTCTATATTCTAGAATTGAGTAAAATCAGGAAGAAAACATGATCTTAGAATTAGTCTAAATATAGCTTTGTGTATCTCCTTCGCTAGTTATATGAACTTAACTATAACCTAACATCCATCCTTCTGTTGGTCAATTTAGGTTTTCCTATTCTTATGGCAAAAGAGCATTTGCCCTTGGAGACAGAAGTTCTTTTTATAACAAGCTTTGTAATTTATTCATGGTTGTCTGTTACAAATTACACGGAAAGGATTCTTTTTCTGAACGCACTAACCTCAGTCATACTCTCCAACTTAACTTTCTTCTGTTCTAAGAGGACTTTGAGTTTGAAATTTTAAAAATTGCTCTACTGCCTCTCAAATTAGAGAAGAGCAAAATGAGGAGCAAGTAGTACTTTATTAAGCAACCCAAAGGAGGAGACTTTGTGCTTGGTGTTCTTTATTTGAGATTTCATTCAGTACTCACAACTCTGTGATGTAGATATTATTACTATTCCCACTTTGCAGAAGGAGAAAGAGAATAAATAACCTTTTCAACATCAAACAGCCACCATTAGGTAGCTTCTAAGTTGGACATCAGAGTCGACCCAATGTCCAGTAAATATCCTTTAACCCTCACCTATGATATGAGGATCATGTGTCAAATGCCCAAATTAAGTCTTTTTTCTTTGTACATTTATCCTTCAATTACTAAATCAATTACTTTTTAAATCTATGTCACCTAAACTCAAATATACCAAAATATATTCATTAGAACATAGCTGTGTTGCAAAACAGGTTGGGGGACAGTGTGATAAGTTATCTGATAAGCTCCCATTTACCAAGGAGTAAATCTGACATGTTCCCTGTTTCAACAACTACTCCTGAAACCCTGTCCATAAAAAACATAGCTCAAAATTAATATACATATTACTCAGTGTTTTTACCTTTTAAAAATTCTTTTCCAAATGCATATATTTTTTCTCTGCAGCACTTTAAAATCACTTAATCAAAGCCTGCTTAGTTAATACACCTGCAGGTGTTGCTACTTCTCTAAATATTTTGCAATAACTAAGGTATCTAGACCAATGGTCCATAATACTATGAATTTAAAGCTGGGGACAGGACAGGGAGGGAGGGGAACCAGAGGGGGGGAAAGGAGAAACATCTGTAACAAAAATAAATTAATTAATTAATAAAAAAACAAAATGTTAACCATCTGATCTAATATTAGATGATAGTTTGGGAGAGTGAAAAGGACACTGGGTCAACTCCTGGCCACAAGGGATAAATGCCTCCTAAAGGACAGCACTCACTTTCCCTAAACGTGTCTCCTCTTAGCCACAGTGTGGATGAGAATACATACTCTCAGGGCTGCATGAATTTAAGCCAAGCACAGTCAAGCATAAAGCACTATGCATACTTAGCTAGTACTATTACACTTGCACAACTATTAAGGGTCAAGGCCCTCAGAAATCAAAGGAAGATTCATGAAATAAGATTTACCAATTCTTCATTTTCAAACTCCAGGTTATACTGTGCTGCTTCTTCTGTCACTGGGTTCTGAACAGTATTTCTACAGATGAGCCATGTGGTCAGACTAGCAATGAACATCCCAATATCAGGTACAAACACTCTGATTCCATTGCCAGCATCAGCTCCCTTTAAGCTGTGGAGGGGAAGAAAATGGAGGAGGAGATTTAGTTGTTTTTATATTTCCATGGTTAAATTAGCATAAAGTAAGTTTAAATTTTCTTAATAATTTAAAGTAAAGGCTACCCAGTTTCTGCTCCAAAGGTACCAAAAGTTTTTCATTGACCTCAGAGTCTTATGTAATTTAAATTAAAAGGTTCCAGGTTTTCTCTGGAGTTTCAGAAACATTATAAAGAACCCTAAATCAATTCTCACTCTCAAAGCAAGCTAACAAACTATGTTATTAAATAAACCACATGTCCAGTACAGATACGGGTGTTTGCACACTAGCTGAAGCAGTTAAAAACTAGAAATATACTAGTGGCTAGGAGAGCTTTTACCTTAGATATAAATCAAAGCTAGAAGGGAAAAAATAGGGTAAATGTTAACACAATCCTTGAATCTAGAAACTTCTTCTTTATTTGTAATACTTAGTTGATTTTGTTTCCCATACTAGTTGAAGAAAGGTAGATCTAATATGATTTTTTTCTTTTCATCTTGGAGAATTAACAGTGCACTAAGAATTAGAGGATTTGGGTTCAAGGGTCAGTATGACACTGACTAGCTGCATCCCACTGGAGGACTTCTCAGAGTCACATATTCTTCCTGCCAAAGAGATAACACTACTTACCTTCTTCATCTCATTTGAGTCAAATGCAAGTGAATCAATGTTATCAGAAATAAAACTTGTTTAGAGATAGGAAGCAAAAGATAGTAATATATATCATGTAAATATATATGTTTTTTCATATACACTTTTTGTAATTAAATCCATAGTGTATAAATAATATTCATCTGCACTGCATATATTATTTTTATAATAAAAACATAAAAATGTAACAAATACCAAGCCCCCTCATCACCTAGAAATAACCAGTGGTAACATTTTGGTAAATTAAAAAAGTAGTAATAATACCTACCACTATATAGAGAGTTAGGCATTATTATTTAACTTCCATTTTTAAAAACATATTTTATTGATTTTTTTCAGAGAGAGAGAAAGGGAGAGAGAGATAGAAACATTGATGTGAGAGAGAAACATCAATCGGTTGCCACCTGTATGTCCTCTACAGGGGATTGAGCCCACAATCCAGGCATGTGCCCTGACCAGGAATGGAACCAGGACCTCTCAGTCCATGGGAGGAAGCTCAATCCACTGGGCTACATCGGCTGGGCCTTACCTCCTTTTAGATATAAAAAAACTAAGGCTTCAAAAGGCAAACTAACTTCCATAACATCATAGAAATAGAGAACAGAATTATTCTCAAGTTTCTTGAAGTCCAAATTTTATGCTTTCAACTACTGTGTTCTCATGTATGTGTCCACATGACCTTCACTTCCAATCTTCCTTTTATGCATAGATGGGTATATTTAAAGTTAACAAGACTATTTCACTTAGGATAATACTTTCCAGGTCCCTCCATGGATAAAAGATCTTTCTTTCTTACAGCTGCATAGTACTCCATTGTGTATATGTACCACTGCTTTTTTATCCATTCGTCTACTGATGGACACCTGGGCTGTTTCCAGATCTTAGCTATTGTAAATAGTGCTGCTATTAACATGGGGGTACATATATTCTTTCTGATTGGTATTTCAGGCTTCTTAGGGTATATTCCTAGAAGTGGGATCATTGGGTCAAATGGCAGTTGAATGTTTAATTTTTTGAAGTAACACCGTATTGTTTTCCATAGTGGCTGCACCAGTCTGCATTCCCACCAGCAGTGCACTGGAGTCCCCTTTTCTCCACACCTTCACCAACACTTGTTTGATGATTTCTTGATGGCGGCCATTTCGACAGGTGTGAGGTGATACCTCATTGTTGTTTTAAATTTTGTCTTTCTGATGATTAGTGATGTTGAGCATTTCTTCATATGTCTCTTAGCCATTTGTATGTCCAGTTTGGAGAGGTGACTCTTAATTTCTATGCCCATTTTTAATTGGATACTTTGTCTTCGTATTGTTGAGTTGTATGAGCACTCTATATCTTTTGGAAATTAACCCCTTATTTGAGGTATCATTGGTAATTGTGCTCTACCATAGAGTGGGTTGCCGTTCCATTTGGGTGGTTGTTTCTTTTGCTGTGCAGAAGCTTTTGAGTTTGATATAGTCCCATGTGTTCATTTTCTCCATTGTTTCTGTTGCTTTAGGTGATGTATCAGTGAAAATTCTGCTGTGTATGGTGTCTGAAATTTTGTTGCCTACATTTTCATTGATTCATGAGTCACATTTAAGTCTTTTATCCATTTTGAGTTTATTCTTGTGTAGGGTGTAAGTAGATGGTCTAGTTTCATTTTTCTGCATGTAGCTGTCCAATTTTCCCAACACCATTTATTAAAGAGGCTGTCTTTACTCCACTGTATGCTCCTGCCACCTTTGTCAAATATTAATTGAGCATATTGTCTTAGGTTTATTTCTGGGTTCTCCATTCTGTTCCATTGATCTATCTGCCTGTTCTTGTGCCATTACAAGGCTGGTTTGATTACAGTGGTTTTGTAGTATAACCTGAAATCTGGTAATGTGATCCCTCCAACTTTGTTCTCTTTTTCAAGATTGCTGTGGCTATTCGAGTCTCTTTTGGTTCCATATGAACTTCTGAAATATTTGTTGTAGTTCTGTGAAGTATGCCATTGGTATTTCGATGGGGATTGCATTGAATCTATAGATTCAATGGGTAATATGGACATTTTAACAATGTTTATTCTTCTAATCCATGAACAAGGTATATGCTTCCACCTTTTTATATCTGCTTTTATTTCTTTTTTTTCAATGACCTGTAGTTTTCTGTGAATAGGTCCTTTATTTCGTTACTTAAGTTTATTCCTAGGTATCTTAATTTTTTTGCTGCGATGGTAAATGGGATTTTTTTTAGTTTCTCTTTCTGTGAGTTCATTATTGGTGTATAAGAGTGCCATTGATTTCTTGACATTAACTTTGTATCCTGCTACTTTGCCAAATTCATTTATTAAGTTTAGTAAATTTGTGATGGAGTCTTTGGGGTTTTCTACGTATAGTATCATGTCATCTGCAAATAATGACAGTTTTACTTCCTCCTTTCCAATTTGGATCCCTTTTATTTTTTCTTCCTGTCTGATTGCTGTGGCTAAGACTTCCAGTACTATGTCAAATAAGAGGGACAAAAGTGGACATCCTTGCCTTGTTCCTGTTCTTAAGGGAAATACTTTTATTTTTTGCCCATTGAGTATGATGTTGGCTGTAGGTCTTTCATATATGGCCTTTATTATGTTGAGCTATTTTTCCTCTATTCCCAGATTGTTGAGCATTTTTATCACAAATGGGTGCTGGATTTTGTCCAATGCTTTTTCAGCATCTATTGATATGATCATATGATTTTTATCTTTCATTTTGATTACATGGTGTATCACATTTATTGATTTGCAAATATTGTACCAGCTTTGCATCCCTGGGATGAATTCCACTTGGTCATGGTGAATAAGTTTTTTGATGTATTGCTGATTCTGATTTGCTAGTATTTTGTTCAGAATTTTGGCATCTATGTTCATCAGGGATATTGGCCTGTAGTTTTCTTTCTTTGTAGTGTCTTTTTCTGCTTTTGGAATTAGAATTATGCTGGCCTCATAGAACGAGTTTGGAAGTCTTCCTTCTTCTTTAATTTTTTGAAATAGTTTGAGGAGAATGGGTATTAGTTCTTTTATGAGTGTTCAGTAAAATTCCCTTCTGAAGCTGTCTGGGTCTGGGCTTTGGTTTGCTGGGAGAGTCTTGATTACATCTTCAATTTCTTTTGTTATTATTGGTCTGTTCAAGTTTTCTATGTCTTCTCGATTACGTTTTGGGAGACTATGTGTTTCTAGAAATTTGTCCATTTTGCTTAGATTTTCAAATTTGTTGCCGTATAATTGTTCATAATATTTGTTGACAATACTTGGTATTTTTGTGATGTCAGTTATTATTTCTTCTCTTTCATTTCTGATTTTGTGTATTTGGGTTCTCTCTCTTTGTTTCTTGGTGAGTCTACCTAAGGGTCCATTAATATTTTTTATCTTTTCAAAGAACCAGCTCTTGGTTTCATTGACCTATTGAATTGTTTTTTCTTTGTTTGTTTGTTTTTGGTCTCAATGTCATTTATTTCTGCTCTGATCTTTACTATTTTGTTTGTTCTACTTGCTCTGGAGTTTTCTTTTTGTTTGTTTTTGAGTTCTTTAAGTTGTGAGGTTAGATAGTCTATTAGAAGTTTTTCTTGTTTCTTTTCTTTTTTCTTTGTTTTTTTTATGAATTTTTATTTATTTTTTTGTTACAGATATTTTACCTTTTTACCCCATTGGCACCCCCCACCCCACCCCACCTCCACCCCGTCCCCGGCTTAGTTGTCCATGTCCATTGGTCATGCATACATGCATATAAGATGTGTGGTTTATCTCTTCCCACCCCCGCACCCCCCATCCCCTCTTCTGAGGGATGTCAGTCTGTGCCCTACTTCCATGTGTCTGGGTCTACTGTATTCCTCAGACTGTTATGTTCATTATATTCCATATATAAGTGAGATCATGTGGTATTTGTCTTTTTCAGCTTGGCTTCTTTCACTTAGGATAATACTTTCCAGGTCACTCCATGTCGTCTCAAAGGATAAGAGATCTTTCTTTCTTAACGCTGCATAGTACTCCATGGTGTATATGTACCACTGCTTTTTTATCCCTCTACTGATGGACATTTGGACTGTTTCCAGATCTTAGCTATTGTAAATAGTCTGCTATGAACATGGGGGTACATATATTCTTCCTGAGTGGTGTTTCAGGCTTCTTAGGGTATATTCCCAGCAGTGGGATCACTGGGTCAAATGGAAGTTCAATTTTTAATTTTTTGAGGTAGCACCATATTGTTTTCCATAGCGGCTGCACCAGTCTGCATTCCCACCAGCAGTGTATTAGAGTCCCCTTTTCTCCACACCCACGCCAACACTTGTTGTTTGATGATTTGTTGATGGCGGCCATTCTGACA